AGAATGTTGTCGTGTATTATTTAATCTTCTAGAATGTTGTCGTGTATTATTTAATCTTCTAGAATGTTGTCGTGTATTATTTAATCTTCTAGAATGCTGTGTATTATTTAATCTTCTAGAATGTTGTCGTGTATCATTTAATCTTCTAGAATGTTGTCGTGTATTATTTAATCTTCTAGAATGTTGTGGTGTATTATTTAATCTTCTAGAATGTTGCCATGTAGTAGTTACAATTCTAGAATGTTGTCGTGTATTATTTAATCTTCTAGAATGTTGTCGTGTATTATTTAATCTTCTAGAATGTTGTCGTGTATTATTTAATCTTCTAGAATGTTGTCGTGTATTATTTAACCTTCTAGAATGTTGTCCGGAATGTGAAACCGCCAAATTACACTTAACATTCAGCTACTGCAATAGACATATAAATAAAACACTATTGAAATAATTACTAGAAGGGAACATTCTGGAAGTGTAACTACTACATGGCAACATTCTGGAAGTGTAACTACTACATGGCAACATTCTAGAAGATTAAATAATACATGACAACATTCTAGAAGATTAAATAATACACACATCAACCATCTTTTAATAACTGATTAGGTTGGCAACAATATTATTCTCTGATTAAGATACCAGTGTTTCAAGTGATCGGAGCTCGTTTGAAATGGTTGGTGAATGTGGAAAAAGTAAGTTTTGTTTCAAAGAGTAACGTTCCTCGCTAGTCCAGAAGGACTTATCGTTTGAGCTCAACAATCAATATATTGTAACACCTATATTGTAAGAAAGCGTTGTATATCGAATTACATTAATCAATACTGCTGGAAGATGAGAAATAAAAGCCGGATTTTCTTAAAACTAACACAAAAACTATTATATTACCATTTATATCAGTAAAAGAAACTTCGCCTTCATGTGACGTTTCGAAACAATATTATTTGTTGTATTTGAAAGATAAGTGAATCTATGTTGTGATAACCTTATTATTCCATTATGTCCTAGTATATGTACATACATACACACACACACACATATATGCATAACAAATAAACAAATCGAATATACAAATATAACACGAATATATATTTCTGTTGTAATTTCATATATATATATATCCGTTCCAGGAAATATTAAAGCTATGAACAGAAATAGCCATACGTTATGGAAGATTAACACATTACAAGGACAATTGTCTATTAAGAACATTAAAGAGAAGTTCCTGTGATGAAGTGACAAAACGTTCCGGTTATTTTTCTTAGTTTGGAAGAATATTAGCTCTCCGTTGTTCAACCTTGAGAAATTATCAGCTCCGACAAATAGAAACATTACTATGAAGTGTGTAATCTTTTAAACAGGAGGTAATAAATGATGTGTCGTCATCATGAAATTTATGCGGTTTATAAAAACCTTAAACGGGCTTTTCATGTGATAGCTTGAAGATCTTTCACTTACTTTTAATATAAAAAGGTCATTTATCTTTCAGCTAACACAGTTTTTTAGGGAAGGGCAGAAACTGGGGGGGGGGGAACATAATGTAAAACATTTTAAAGATACTTTCTTCACACGCGATCACGCTGTCTTCCTAGCATTACAAATTACAGAAATAAATAAGTACAAGCAGTCTTAATTTAGCTTTAAGTTCTTAATAATAATTCCAAGTTGTGTTTATATTATGTATATATATATATATATATATATATATAGCACGCATACAATGATGATTTCGGGATGAAAGATATATATATCATATTCACACTTTTAAGAATTTTTTTATGTATGCAAATCATTTCACGTTAGACGTCGCTTCTTTAACTTAACAATGTATCTCATTATTGCTCTTGGGTAGAGTTTCAAATATTGTGATCTTTTATACTGGGCCGGTTATCACTTAAGAATTTTGCATGTTTTTGTACACGTGTTTATAGCCATCTAGCGGCAAATGTAATTATTTACAGCTGCATCTGGGACATTAAAATTCACAAACAATATTTGATGTTATTAAAGACGATATCCTGTCCTTACATCTGAAGATCGTGACATAATAAGAGATTCATCTACGATCCAGTTTTTAACTAAATACTATGTTGAGAGAAAGCTACGTATCAAAGAAACATTGTTAATTCGTAAATTAAAGCCTGGAACTAAACAGAACTAGTTAATCAATTAATTTATTGTTCAAAATTTAATTTTCGTCTTTTATTATGAATTTCAAGGTTCTATAAAATGGTACTTATAATATTTGTCTGAAATTTTACTCAAATGTAGATTTTGATATGAGATTAAGGACGTAACGGTTTGTGAAGCGTTAAAATCTTACTCGATAGTCAATTCTTAAGCCTAACATGGCGGTCAGTATTTTACGAATTTATGTATTCATCAGAATATATAATTTCTGATGTTAAGTAGAGGGAAGAACACAAAAAATGACGTCATGAACCATAAAAAATAATAGTACGAAGTGCTTGAAGCACCTACTGGTAAATGGTGACATGAAATTCTGTTTCAAGGGTATTTTAGTTAGGTGTTTTTAGAGGAGCAGTCCAGTAAAGCCAAAAATTTTATCTCTAATAAGAAATATTCTAAAGTTTGGACAAATATCAAAAATAAATTCACATACCAGATCAACGCTAATGACTTCCTTCCATCGGCTTTCTCCACCAATACCGGCATTGTTCACCAGTATATCCACATGACCAAAAGTTTTAACAGTTTCGTTAAAAACCTCTGAAAATAAGGACAGCACAAAAATAATATTTGAAAAACTAACTCTGAACAGATATTGTTTTAGTAGTATATTATTTCATAATTACGCTAATGTTTTTGTTTAACTTAGACATTTAAACATAAATATTTAGTCGTTGTTGTTGTTAAACTTAATAAACTTATGTTAATATTTTTCCTAGTTTTTTTTCTTTTAGAATAGCTTGAGACATACAATTGAAAGGATAGATTTAATGCATTTCAGATAAGTATATGTGTCACTCATTTTCAACACACTGCAGTCCTGGAAAGTTCTTTATGTAGAGTGTTTTTGGCTGAATTTTTTTTTAATATCTGTTTGTAAATAACTTCTATTCTAAATATGGTTTTGGAAAGTTCCGTTTAGTGTTTATTGTTAAGGTAATACATTACGTGACACATTACAACACATTTATTGTTGAAACTATACACTGGCTAGTAATTGTTTGCCAACTATGTCAAGGTAATATATTGCGTGGCACATTATAACCCATTGATTGTTGAAACTATACACTGGTCAGCAATTGTTTACCAACTATGTCAAGGTGATACATTACGTGACACATTACAAAACATTTATTGTCGGAACTATACATAGTACTATAACCATATTCAATAATTGGACAATAATTTCCAAACAGCTTACTTTCGAGATCCTTTTCATTACTGACGTCACACATGACGAACAGCACATTTTTTTCCCCAAATGCTTTCTTCAACTCCTGGATTGTTTTTTCACCTTCCTGTTGATTCAGATCTGCAACACATACCTGACGAAGCAACAGAAAAATGTGCATTTAGGTTTTCAAAGTGGTTCCGCCAGAAAAATCCCAAAAACAACAACAACAACAACAACAACAAAATAAACCTTTGCGTCTGAATCCTCCTGACATGTATCTTATTTCCATGGGTGTGACACATTTATAAAAATAATAGTTTATTCTCATCCACAATATATTCACAAGTGTAACCACCCAAAAGTAAAGATCTAAACCCTGAAACTAGAAGGTAACTTTAGGATATTTACTCATTGTTTTTTTTTTTTATTTCATCTTCAGTTGGTGTTCACATAACGCAGTGGTTCTCAAACTGTGGTCCTCCAGGTGGTCCTGATTCAAAAATTCAAGTCACATCAAAAGCAGCATCATTCTTCCCATTAATTGTGATAAGTGTTTTTGCAGTGGCAAGCGAAAGCGGGTGTGGTAGGATCGGTAGGTGGTTCGCGGTGACTTTTGCCCCGCCCAAGTGGTCCACAGATGAAAAAGTTTGAGAACCAGCGACATAACGCTACCTACAACTAATGAATAGCAGACGATTAAAGAAAAGTTTCTACTTTTTTATTATCAGTAAACTACTAATGTGCTTTATATATACAAGCCTATAGTAATATCTTGCAATTGCAAGGCGCTTCTTGATCTCGAAATTCGTGTTACTTCAGCTAATAAAAAATGTTTATTGTACAATAAATGTGTTTAGAAATTTTCAATTATTTCATGTGCGATATGAAAACCCAATGAAAGTAGAACTTGTCAAAGGGCTTGTTTGTTTGTTTTTAATTAAGCACAAAGCTACACAAGGGCTATCTGTGCTCTGCCCACCACGGGTATCGAAACCCGGTTTCTAGCGTTGTAAGTCCGCAGACATACCGCTGTGCCACTGGGGCTGTCAAAAGGCAGTTTTTTGTATTATTTAGTAGAAATCGTAGCTGTATTTACGTTTGTGTCCCCCGTGGGTCAGCGGTAAGTTTACGAACGTACAACGCTAAAATCCAAGTTTCGATTCCCTGCGGTGGACAGAACGCAGATATTCCAGTGTTTGTGGTTTTGCGCTAGACAAAAATTAATGTTGCTTATTGAGCTTATTCTACAAGGTAAAAAAAATACCATTACTGATGCTACATCAGAAAACTTGTTAATGTCTTGCTCCTCACGAGATTTGATCAAAATAATTATCTTTAAGTGCCACTTCACATCGTCAGCGTCCTCTCGGTGAAATCAAGGTCTCTTCCGTGAAAACGGAAAAGCAAGCATAATTACGAAATTAACTGGAAACTTTTTAACATTCTTTACACCTCTTAATTTTAACCGATAATAAATTAATCGGAAAGAAACTACATTATGAATATTTACAAAACTGCACAAATGACTGCCTGTTCTGGGATTGAAACCCGAATTTTACCGTTATTAACTATCAAATTTAATAGCTAAGCCCCCTGGACTACAAATTTATTAAACCTCACTGTAAATTATGCAGTTCTACAACAAACTTCCAACATTCTCCATAAGCTTTCATCATCTGGTCCTTTTTTTCATAAAGTGGTTAGGGATATCCACCATCCTCTATAAGCTTTTATCATCTGGTTCTTTTTTTCGTAAAGTAGTTAGGGATATCCAACATCCTTCATAAGCTTTCATCTGGTTCTTTTTTCG